CACCACCACTACTACTTCTACTACTACTACCACCACCACCACCACTACTACTACTACTACCAACACCACTACTACTACTACTACTACTACTACCACCACCACCACCACCACCACCACTACTACTACTACTGCTACAGCTACTACTTCTGCGATTGCTCACACTACTACTAATGCTGCTACAATTTAACTACTGAACCTCTGCCTGCATTTTTCATTTGCTAGCCTTCTTAACCATACCCTGATACACTAAGGAGTGCGTAAGTTTTATATACCATGTATTTTGTAATTGGCGTTTATCTCCACAATTGTTATTATTCTAATTTTAAAAATAAATCAGTTTTTTTTCATTTGAGATGAACTCAAACAAATCTTGACTAATTTCTTACTGATAAGTAGTTAAATAAATGAGACTGAGGTCATATAAGGTCATCAGAATGTAAGGATAAGTGTACTGAACAAATTCAAATAAATTTACTGGTGTATATCAATATATTTATATACAAGTTATCATATCTCATAATTACATATATACATAAATAATTTGTGAGAATTATTCTCCAGTGTCCTCCTCTTCCTTAACACTGTTATAGTAACACTCAACGCTTAGTGTTGATGGGATGATAAGAAAGGCATTTTTACTTAGTGATTACTCACTCCTTTGACTTCTTCAACCAATACGATATCATATTGATAACTACAGTTCCTAGGATCTTGGAAAAGATGTTAGTTAAGCCAGTTCTTCTTTCACTTGTAACAGGAAGACTTCTTTTCGTTCTTATAGATTAGGTTGATCGCTGAAGTAAAGCAGTCTGACGGCATTACGTTTGATTACTATACACTACCTAGTACTTCCACCAGTTTAACCACCGATTTCCTACCTTCATCTGCGCAAACATCAGGTGGCCGACTGTGAGGTCCTGCTGCTTAGCATTTTGTCAGCTTCGATACAATATTTTCTAAAATGACGAGAGTTGAAGGTCTGAATTCTACTTCCAATCCAGGTTCAGGCTGGATATTTGGCAACTGAAGCGTTTCTGACGTCCGGTTGCGCGGTGCTTCAGAGGTTTCTGTTCAGTCTTCTAGTCGTTTATCCTTGGGGGTTATCAAAGCCCCGTTCTTTTCGATGGTGGTTTCACTAACTATGGTTTCCTTGTTGTCGGTATCCTTAGAAAGCCTGGATGGTTGCCGAGTTTTACCCAACTCCGATATCTTGTCTATTTCTCCCGCTTTCTTCAGCTACCACTGTTCACAATCAACGCGAAGACTCTTGGTCAGCTTACCTTTAGGTAACTGTTGCTCTTTGCCATGGTGAAAGTCACCTGGAATCAGTCGTCTCGCATCAGTCAGTTCGAATGAATTCGTGGAAATTCAGTAACGCTTTCTAAACTTAGGCTGTAGGTTACTGATTGCCTTTACCACTGTTTCTACAAGAGACTTAATACCACGCCAGGTTTCCTCAAGGTGAGGATTCCTCTCACGTTCAGATAAATGACTAGCTAACTCCTCCCTAAGTACGCATTTGGTGCCCTCATTTTCCAACCAAGCATAGGCAGGCTAAAATTACAACCTGTTTCTTGCCTCCAGTAAGGTGAGTACAAACACATGTTCGTAACACGAAACACAAAGGTGTATCAAACTTAAGAATACTCATCACTTAGTTCAATATTCTATTCAGTCAAAGATGCAGTTGAATGAGGCATCATTGAAATCTCCAGTGACTTTTTGACTGGTTTCGTTTGCTGTTTAGAACTCCACTTTATCCTAGTACTCGACTGTTATGCGTCCTGGGTGAACAGTAAATATCACGTGTTAAGAAGCTTGACACAGTTGTATAACACATTCATAGACTGACTTACTCTTCTCAAGAGAACTGTGTACGAGAAATATGAATATAAGGTTTAGAGTACTATCTGAACTAAAACTTCATTTTTTTCTAGTTATATTATTTGGTTTTATTTTCTGTGGTCTGTAATTCAAATTGATTGAAAATAGAAATGATTCACGTTAATTCATATAGAATTATATTTTGACAAACAAACAAAAAATTCAAATTTTTACTCGATAACTGATGAATCATGCCAGTTTAATCGATAAGGTCATTAGACTGTAGCAGCTCAGCCAATTAGAGATGAGTAAGGTCATTTAGCTGATTGGATAATTAGATACATTTGTAGGTCAGTTTTTATTTGTATGATGCTTTACGGACTACAGCTCTGTTCGTTAGGCAGCAAACAATACATGCAGGAGGAATGTAGAAGTAGATCAGCATTTATGCCTTAACTGGAATTCATTTAGCGAAGAAAATGTCCTCTTTCGACTACATCATTTTCTAAAGATATATATATATATATATATATACATTGCCAGTGTTTCTGCTAAACACAACTGCTTAAAGCCTACTCCTTTTGAACTATTTCCTTTGACTGTGTAAATGACACCGAAGGAGGACTTTAGTGGAGCTATAAGTTCAGAGTTAACCAAGTGTTCAGTAATTCTCCCCTCGACAACTATCTAAGATAATACTGAGAGATATGTTTCGAAAGTATGTGATTTGTTGGGCTTATGTAACTAGCTCCACAGGAGCAAATAAACTTGTATACATCTAGTGAGATGATCTAAATTGGCAACTTGTTCTTAATCCCCGCGGATACCAACTGCTGACCCTGGAATTCATTCTCAGCTATATCAATAAATGACGTTAGACCATAAAATTTATTATCTCTCTGAAGTTGCTAGACTGTCTTAACTTTCAAATAGTATAGGAGATATATGGTCCTATAATCACTGGTAGTTCATCTGTTAGGAAGCGTTCTAGATGAGATTTTTGTTTTTATAATGGTTAACTTGTATAAGGTAAGTTATACTAGGGAGTTTATGTAAGCAAACTTCTTCTTTGGTGTCATATCCTATGAATCTGTGTTGTTGATCGGATAGAATGGATAGGCCTTTATTGGCATATGGTAACGACTGTGACTCACAAGTTATTACTTCAAAGACTATACTATACTCGTCACACAAGTGGTGGCTGTCATAAATAACACTCCAGTATTTGAAGTGACTTGCCTTTGGTTCGAGTCTTGGCGGGAACATTATTCACTAGGAGACAGGTTAATCCAGCTTACTTAGTTCCCTGAAAATGCTTAGAAAATTTTCGTTAGAGTTATGATAGTATTAGACGAACTATTGTCGAGTTCGTTCAGTCTACGATTTCTTAATGTATGAAATTCAAATGTGTTGAAGAGCTTATGGGTTATATTTGCGGATATTCACTACTATATATTAAGCATTTTGACAGATTTAAGAAATCTTGGTTAGAGTTCAGAAAGTTAAGCTTTATTTAGTTGATTATAGATCATACTTTATATTCCTCAATTTCGTAGTATCCAGATAATATACGTTTTTCTTCAATCTCTAGAAGGGTATTGTTTTAAGAGGGCTCACCTGATTGGTCAATAAAACAAAGGTCAAACTCAAACGTGATTGGCTGTCATTAAAGTTGAGTTCAACTATTTGGACAAGAGTAGGAAGTCACTACTTTTGCATTTGAGTTGTGAAAGGTTCTGCATTCACTTTTCTCCGTATATTCGCATTAATACACAAATTGAAGTATCACATTGTTTACTGTTGGAGACGATTTATCTTAGTCACAATAGTTTATAGCATTAAATTGCAGCATCATTTATTGTTCATCTTAACTACATACAGAAATATAAACTTCCTGATAGAAAAGAGAGAACAGCTGAAGTTTCTGTGTGAGAACTTTAGATTTGACAACAGTCTTACTAGTAGGATAAATGGAAAAACTTTGAACTTCTGGGTTCTATTCATGTGGCTCGGTGCAAATGAATTTAGCTACCTATTCTTCTAGAGAGCTAACAACTAACTCTTACAACCCATTCTAGTTGTGTTAGTATAAATATACAACCATTTGCAATTAAATTTACTATTTTCCCAACTTGTATTTTGTTGCTGTGACGTTTATAGTTATTTAAGATAGAATGCCTTAAAATCCTTCGAGAAGACTCGCTCACTATGCTTTTCAATTTTTCCCCCCTTCTATTAATACCCTTTTTAATATTCACTCTCTCAGCTCATCATATTTTTACTCTCCTGCCTTCTGTCTCGTGAATTATTGAAGTTTGTGCACAACTCTGAATTGTTGTATTTATTCATCTATCATTATAGTCTTTACTGTAATGGATACAAATGAAAATGTGACACTGTTAGACGTGGTTAATATTTTTCATTTCTAAAAAAAATCCACCTCAAAATGTAATTACTAAAAGTTCTGAGATGTATCATATATTTTCTTATTTTTCAAGGTGATTCGTTGTTCACTAAAGTGAATTTTAAACAGATAAGTTTAATTTAACCAATAAGGAGGACAGATTAGTCAACCAATTAAATGACTATCAAAGGTAGCCAATCACAGTTAAGACTGTTAGGTTGAACCACTTATTTCAGTAGTATCTAACCTTGTACTTGAAAATCTTGTATTTTACTCAAAATGAGATTCCTCTAGGATTTTCTTAGGTAGAATATTTATACTTAGATTTAATATGGCACTGTTTGACGAAGATTCGAAAAAGTGCGTTGATCTGTATTGAAATTTCGGTTTCGTGAAACCGCTGATTCCCTGACTAAAGAACTGGAGAGTTTTAGCATAAATTTAGGCGAAAAGAATGTTTTTTTCGAGATTATTCAGCATATCTTCCAGATGAACACTAGAGGTGATGAACATCAACTTCAAACCCACTAGTCATCGATTATTGCTGAAAAAGAAATAAAACCAGAAGGTAACCGCTTTGAAACTGTTGACATTTACCACTCCCAAGTCTAAACGGGCATAACAAAAAATCTGACCTTTAGTGGAGTGTCTTGACCGTGAAACCGAAAACTCATCACGCAATGAATCAAATTATTTTTAAATAAAACTTTTTAAGCTTCAACTTGATTTATCCCTTGTATCAATTTTTCTATATTTTTGTTTCAATAATAAGCTTATGTTCAATAAGTTTCGTGAAGCATTGAAAGAACAAGCTGAACCATTGAAAAAATTAATAGCAATAGCTGATCGTGATGGAATGTTTCTAAATGAACACTTGGCGTCGATTTTCTACTCAAAATTAACATTTTACCAAGATTTATATCAATCACAACGAAATAATTATTTGTCAACCATTTAAAAAAAAGAAACAATAACAAATACTTATTGTTTAAAACAAATGAAATTCATTCCACTGTTGAAAAGTGAACACTGATTGTTTTATTTACAGTTGTCATTGACTTAAAATTAGTGATGAATCCAAAGCCAGGTTAACACTTCAAGGATTTAGAAGTCATTACCAGCAGACAAGGGTGGTATTCCTGAAATAAATTCTTATTAATTGTTTGAGAAAGAAATGTTTTTCCCTTTTCTATGAGTTATTTTTCCGTTAGTATATATTATATATATATATATATATATATATATTCACTGTTACCAAGGTCAACTCGTAAAACTTGTCTCTAGTCAACCAATCACAGTGCTCCTAAATCAGCCGATAAACGGATAGCTATATATATATATTGCCTATATATATATTTATTGGCTGATTTAGGAGCACTGTGATTGGTTGACTAGAGACAAGTCTTACGAGTTGACCTTGGTAACAGTGAATAAGATTCTTTTCACATTTTCATGTGGGAAAATGAAATGAAGGTCAAGTAAGCAGCAAATTAAACCTAGAAAGCAGTAATCCGAATTCATGAGTAGAAAATCATACTTTGCTATTCAATTTTCAGTTGATTCTCACAGCAGCTCTGATCTGCACATATTTTAATAATCTGATCGTTTCAGCTACTGAACGAGTTTGTACGAGGTTGCTGAATGCATTTCAGTTACGATTTTCAAAGTATAATTCAGTGAAAAGCTTTTTAACTTCAACACTAAGTAACTTGAACCTCGCCTGGTTAACTAGTTCACTAGTTACTAGCCGGTCCTAAGCCCGGGTAAACACGGTAGGTTGGGCATAGGGCTAGCAACCCTACACTGTAAAACAAATCTAACCGCTAAAGAAACTTCAAAGCACAAACGATATATAAAAAATAAAAACAAACTTATTCCCCGCTGGAGTAGAAGAGGCGAAATGACGCCGATTGGTGAAAGCCTTCGGGAAGCCAATTGGCCGATGTGTCTTCTCTCCTCGATGAAAGTGAAAGTAAACGTGGGGACATGGAATGTCCGCACCATGTTTGAACCCAATAAGGCAGCCCAGATTGCAAAGGAGATGAGAAGGTATCACATCGAAGTGCTTGGGATTTGCGAAAGCAGATGGAATGGGAGTGGACTCTCCAAACTGTCAACTGGAGAATCAATAATCTACTCCGGTCACCCAGACGACAGCCACGAACACACTGAGGGAGTGGCTATCATGCTGTCCCCAAGAGCATCGAAGGCTCTCATGCAGTGGGAACCAATCTCCTCCAGGATCATGACAGCAAGATTCAACTCAAAAGGAAGAAAGGTCACAATCATACAACGCTATGCACCAACAAATAATGCAGATGGAGAGAAGAAGGAGGAATTCTACAGACAACTTCAATCAACACTGGACAAGACGTCAGTTGGCGATATCAAAATTCTAATGGGCGACATGAATGCCAAACTGGGAGCGGGCAACACAGGAAGAGAACTAACCATGGGTCGAGAGGCGCTAGGTGAAATGAACGAGAATGGAGAATTGTTTACAGAATTCTGTGCATTCAACGATTTGGTGATTGCAGGCAGTGTGTTCAGGCACAAGGATATCCACAAAGCGACATGGATTTCACCAGATGGACACACTAAAAATCAAATCGACTTTATCTCAATGTGAAGAAAATGGAGACGCAGTCTACTTGACACAAGGTCAAGAAGAGGAGCAGATGTAGGCTCAGACCACTATCTAGTGCAAGGAACCTTCCAAATCAAGTTGAAAGTCTTCAAGGAAGCTGGTGATAGACCACAGTTCAAGTACAACACTCGGAAACTGAAGGATGAAATTACAAAGGAGATCTTCACGGCAGCCATCAAGACAAAATGGGAGATATCGAGGAACATCCCTGAAGAAACCTGTGTGGAAGAACACTGGAAGTCTTTGAAAGTCATGTGGAAAGAAACCTTCACAACAGTATTAGGAAGGAAGGAGAAAGAAGACAAGGAATGGATCTCGGTAGACACATGGAAGCTGATAGAGGAGAGGAGGATGGTGAAGCAGAAGATAAACCAGTGCAAGGATGCTCAACGACAAGAGGAACTGAGTACAATGTACAAAACACTGGACAAAAAAGTGAAGAAGAGTGCACGGAAAGACAAAAGACACTTCTACGAAACACTGGCAAGTGAAGCAGAACAGGCTGCAGGTAAGAGAGACCTGACGACATTGTATCAAATAACCAGGTTGCTATCTGGGAAGAGACCAACACAGATGAAACCAATAAAAGATGAAGAAGGAAATTTAATTACAAAAGAAGAGAAACAGAGGAAACGATGGGCCGACCACTTCAAGAAGCTCTTGAATCGACCACCACCTGCACTTCGTCCAGAAATACCACCTGCAGCCCAGCCATAGAACTACAAGTGAACATAAATCCTCCAACAAAAGTCGAAGTCCTGAACGCCATAAAGCTACTGAAATGTGGGAAAGCAGCAGGACCAGATGGAATCCCGCCAGAAGCACTGAGAACAGATGCACAGACAACAGCGGACATGCTCACACCACTATTGCAGAAGGTGTGGAAGGAAGAAAAGGTACCTAGCGATTGGAAGAAGTGTTACCTCGTCAAACTGGCGCAGAAGGGGGACCTCAGTGTTTGCAAGAACTGGCACGGAATCATTCTCCTTTCTACCCCAAGTAAAATATTAAGCCACATCATCCTGGAGAGGCTAAAGGATGCACTGGATTCAAAACTACGACCAGAACAGGCAGGTTTCAGGAAGTACAAATCATGCACGGACCAAATTGCAACGCTGCGCATCATCATAGAACAGAGCATAGAATGGCAATCAGCTCTCTACCTCAACTTTATCGACTTTGAGAAGGCCTTCGACAGCGTCGACCGAGAGGTAATTTGGAAACTGCTTCATTACTACGGAATACCGCAAAGCTTTATCCGCCTCATTCAACAACTGTATGAAGATGCCACATGCCAAGTAATTCACAATGGGAAGCTCAGTGAAGCTTTTGAAGTGAAGACAGGAGTGAAACAAGGCTGCCTACTATCCCCCATGATATTCCTGATTGTGGTCGACTGGATCATGCAGCAAACAGTGGGGAGCGAGAAGAGGGGGATACACTGGACTGCGGAAAAGAACCTAGAAGATCTGGATTTCGCCAACGATGACTTGTGTCTGATGTCATACAAACTTGAAGATCTACAGGCGAAAACTCACAAGTTGACAGAAGAGGCAGCGAAGACGGGACTTCAGGTGAATATAAAGAAGACAGAGGTGATGAAGATACCGCACCAACAACTTCAACAACAACAACAAACTCCGAACACCGTCAACGGGAGAAACTTAAAGGAAGTAACCTCCTTCACCTAGCTAGGAAGCACTGTCTCAACTACAGGTGGCACAGACGAAGATATCAAAGTCAGAATTGGAAAAGCAAGACAGGCGTTCATTAGCTTGAAACCAGTGTGGAGATCTTCTGCACTCAGCATGCGGAACAATATACGGATTTTCAACACCAACGTCAAGTCACTGCTTCTGTATGGCTCAGAGACCCGGCGCGTCACGAAAGGGATTTCCAATAAACTACAGACATTCATCAACAACTGCTGCCTACACTGGCTCGCTACTGAGGATCAGATGGCCAGAATAAGAATAAGCAACAAGGAGCTCTGGGAACGAACCAACCAAGAACCTATCACGCAACAAATATGCAGAAGGAAGTGAAGATGGATTGGGCATACACTGAGAAGGCCGACTGAAGACATCACGCGTCAGGCCCTCGAGTGGAATCCCCATGGGAAGCGACGAGTTGGACGTCCGAAGGTGACATGGAGGAGGTCGTGCGAGGAGGAAATGAGAGGTTGTGGGATGTCGTGGAACCAGGTTGAAAAGATCTCAGAGAGCAGAGGTCACTGGAGACGTGCTACTGAAGCCGTATGTTCCACTAGGAACCCAAGGGACTAATAATAATAATAATAATATAATACTAGGTAACTTGAATTAAAGTGCCTAGACCGGGATAATTTTCATCAAGAGTTATAGAATATTGACAAATTCGAAATATTCGATAGGGAACTTTATTCCACTTACTTCTGAAAACCTAATATCAAGCCACTGGAGGATTTACTTTCCATAGTGTGAGTAAAAGACTTCACTAACCGCAATTAAAGATTGTAAAAGGTTTCATAGACCTCTGAGTCTTTTTAATACGCCATTTATAGGTGGGAGTTAGGATGTCTGTTGATCACTCCTTTCTACACACAAGGGTGTTTCACTTCATCTTTGTTATGTCTGGTACTGGGAGAATTTCAGCAAATTAGTGTTGAACGTCCTCAACTACCTGACATTAATGTTTAAAATCCAAATCTTGTTTTTTATGCTGAGTGGAGTGCAGTAGATCTCCATACTGATTTCAGGTTAACGAAGGCCTGCCTTGCTGTCTTTCTGATCCTTACTTCGACATCGTCATCTGTAACACCGCCTGTAGTTGAGACGATGCAGCCTTAGTAGGTGGAAGAGACAACTTCCTCCAGATTTCTCTTATTCGTGGTGATTGGTGCTTATTGTTGGTTGGTTGGATATCTTCATCACCTCTCTCTTCTCTACGTTCATCTGAAGTTCCGCCTTCGCTGCCTTGCCTTTTTGCTTGTAGATCTTCAAGTTTGTGCGACATTAGACATAAATCATCCTCAGCGGCGAAATCCAAATCTTTTTCTGGGTTCTTTTCATCGGTCCAACCAGCATATGCCCATCTTCTCACAGCTCTTCACAGTTTCTTGCATGATCCAGTCTAGTCCACTAAATCAGGAAGATCATCGGCGATCATGGACGTGCTAGTTTTACTCGTGTCTCCTGTCTTCACTTCAAAGGCATCATTGAGCTTTCCATCGTGAATCATTTGACATGTAGCCTCATCATCTAGCATATAGCTGCTGTTGAATGAGGTTGGTAAAGGTTCATGGCACAAAACCGTAGTATTGAAGCAGCTGCCAAACTGCTTCTCGGCCGACGCTTCGATCGAAGGCCTTTTCAAATTTGATGAAGTTGAGTTGACTACCATTCTATGTTCTGTTCTATGATGTGCGTAGCATAGCGTTACAATCTGATCCGCACATGATTTTGTTTCTGAAGCAGCCTGTTCGGGTGGTATTTTTAAATGAAGAACATATTTTAAGCCTCTTCCGAATGATACGGCTTAATATTTTGCTTGGTGTGGACAGGA